GGGTGGGACGCGTGCGGGTGAAGTCGGTAGTAACAGACCGACTCGTCAAAGGTGACATCCTGAGAGGACAGAACACGACACGAGGCAGGGTGGTAGAACTGCCAGGGTGGAGCGTCGGTGGGGAAGCCCAGGAAGACACAGCGGAGAGTGCGAGGGGAGAGCTTGCTCGCTTTGGTATCGCGAACAAGGGAGAGCGCGCCCCAGACCCGAAACGACGACGCATCACCAGGATGTCCCGTCCAACGGAGTGTGGGCGAGGTCTCTGGAGCAGAGACACGGGGCCAGAGGTTGAGCTGATGCTCGGCGTATCGGACCGCAAACGGCCACAGGAAATGGGGAGCAGCCGCATGGATCATGGAGGTACGAGCAACCTCCATGATCAGGCCAATGCGACGCTCAGCGATCCCATTTTGCTGCGGAGAGGCCGGAAGCGTGAACGACTGGCGGATGCCCTCATCCTGGCAGAACGTCTCAAGGACGCCAGAGGAGAACTCACCACCCCTGTCAGAGTGCAGACGCAGGACTGGGAAGTCCTGCTGAAAGCGCTCGTGCAGCTGGAGACGAGTAGCACGGATCCAGCGGATCAAGACACCACTGACATCCGCCTTGCGCCGCAAGGGGAAGACTGTGGTGTAGCGTGTGTAGTCGTCAACCACCAGCAGGAAGTAGCGCTCCTGGTCCGTTCCACCGACGGGGGCCAGGCCCCACACGTCCATGTGGAGAGTCTGCAGAGGAGCAGTGGTCGGAGGAAACTCGGAGGAGTGAGGAGCGGCGCGCTGCCGCCCCTCGACGCAAGGAAGGCACGGCGGCGCAAGTGAGCGCGGGAGGGGGGGCAGGGTCTCAGGGAGGCCAGTGACCAGGAGCCGGGAGTGCATGCGGCGCAGACGCTGCAGGGAGGGGTGACCAAGACGGTGGTGCCAGCGCTGAGTCTCGTGCGTGAGTACTCGGCACGAGCAAGACGCAGCTAACTGCCCTGACGCAGACGCTCGACTCGACGTAGCTACCTGACCTGACTCAGTCACCTGTGCAGACGCAGTGGTCAGTGCGTACAGACTAGACCCAGGCTGTCGAGTGAACGTAGCCAGGTGACGGCCAGTCCGGGAGCACGTACAGATCGCCACACGCTGCCCTCCAGGAATAAAGGTATCAACCCAAACATCCTGAATGGCAGCGTTGCTCACCAAGTTCGTCGAGAACGTGGGGAGGTGGAGACCTGACAAAGAGCCGGAGGGGACTGCTGGACAAGGGAGGACCGTGGAGGCTCTCGCAACCACTGGGCCCCCAGAGGGGTCAGCCAATGAGATTGGGACAGGTGCTGTGAGTGGTGTGACTGTGGTGCAATCACGGAAGAAGCAACGTGACGCGCCGGAGTCAAGCGTGAACGTGTGCAAGACCTCAGCTGAGGCAGGACCTGTGGAAGTAGACGCACTAGCAACTAGAGCGTCGGTAGACTCACGGGCACCTAGAGCTGCAGCAGACTCACTAGCACCTGGAGTGGCAGCAGACTCACTAACACCTGGAGTGGCAGCAGACTGACTAACACCTGGAGTGGCAGCAGACTCACTAACACCAAGAGCAGCGGTCTTAACAGAACGATAACCTCCACCACCAGGACGACCTCACTGAATAACCCACTCACGAAGCTGCCGAGGGGTGGGGTCGTCCGGGAGAAGCAGTGCCCGCTGCTGTCCACCCCTGGCCGCAGCGACTGCTGCGGAAGTGGCCATGACAGACAGTGACTGTCAGGAGTAGGTCCAGCACCTTCAGCTCCTACAGCGCCAGCAGCACCTCCTACACTCCCAGCAGCACCTCCTCCACTCCCAGTAGCACAAGTAGCAGCAGGAGCAGTGGTAACAGCAGCAGGGCGGTTCGGTGGGGGTGGGAGGCCGCACCTCCACCACTCCCAGCAGTACTCCCTCCAGTAGCAGCAGTAGCAGGGCGGCTCGGGCAGCAGCAGCAGACCGAGCAGCAGCAGCAGCAGCAGTAGACCGAGTAGCACTAGCTGTAGCAGTAGTAGTTGCAGTAGCAGCAGCAGTGACAGCTCGGGCTGGGCGGCGCGGCTCGGACACAGTGGCAGAGCAGCAGTAGCACTAGCTGTAGCAAGTGCAGTAGTAGGAGCTGCAGCAGTAGCACTAGCTGTAGCAAGTGAAGTAGTAGGAGCTGCAGCAATAGTACTAGCTGTAGCAGCAGTAGCTTCAGTCAAGCAGCAGTAGCTTCAGTCAGGAGCAGCTGTAGCAAGTGCTGGAGTAGGAGCTGCAGCAGTAGCACTAGCTGTAGCAAGTGAAGTAGTAGGAGCTGCAGCAGTAGTACTAGCTGTAGCAGCAGTAGCTTCAGTCAGGAGCAGCTGCAGTAAGTGTTGGAGTAGGAGCTGCAGCAGTAGCACTAGCTGTAGCAGAAGTAGCTTCAGTCAGTACCAGCTGTACCAAGTGCAGTAGTAGGAGCTGCAGCAGTAGCACTAGCTGTAGCTGGAGTAGCTTCAGTCAATAGTAGCTGTAGCAAGTGCTGGAGTAGGAGCTGCAGCAGTAGCACTAGCTGTAGCAGCCGTAGCTTCAGTCAGTAGCAGCTGTAGCAAGTGCCGTAGTAGCAGCAGCAGCAGTAGCACTAGCTGTAGCAGCACTAGATTCAGTAGCAGCAGCAGTGAGTAGCGCTAGCTGCAACAGGAGTAGCGTCAGTAGCAGCAGCAGTGAGTAGCGCTAGCTGTAGCAGCAGTAGCTTCAGTAGCAGCAGCAGTGAGTAGCACTAGCTGTAGCAGCACTAGCTTCAGTAGCAGCAGCAGTGAGTAGCACTAGCTGTAGCAGCACTAGCTTCAGTAGCAGCAGCAGTGAGTAGCACTAGCTGTAGCAGCAGTAGCGTCAGTAGCAGCAGCAGTGACAGCTCGGGCTGGGCAGCGCGTAGTAGCAGTAGGCGCGTGTGGGCTGTGGGCGTGCAAACCAGGGGCGCGCAACAGGTGCGTGCGGGGCGGCACTACGAGGAGCGCGCATCAGGTGCGTGCTAGGGGCTGGCGGGCAGCGTGAGTGGCGCGCGCAGCAGCAGGAACGAGGGGGGGACCGGGCGTAGGGGCTGACGGGCCGCGCGAGAGGCGCACGGGGCAGCTAGGGCTCGGCCAGGGGGGTCGCACGTGACTAGGAACAGAAAATCGCGTCTAGGCAGAAAAGGGAACCGTCTCGCCTAGGGCACGTTTTCGCATTTCGCGTTTCTCCTAGGGGCGCGACTCGGGCAGCAGGTCGAAATAGTAGTGGTGGGCCCTTTTAAAATTTCGGTCCTAAGGAGCATTGTGCTCTTAATACCATGTTAGAGTTACTAGCTAGATGAGAGGTGTCGATTAGGTAAGGGGGGGGGGTACAAGGACTATCGAGAGAGATTGTTGTACCCTCTAAGGAAAGAACCCTACACAACCTAGAGTGAAATAAGCATAACAATATGTTTTGACAAGTACTATTTCCCTTATGGTATGAGTCAACGAGGTTCCGGTGGTCTTATACCATGTCCGCCCAAGCGCTTCGCCCGGCCATTAGTAGCGCTATATCTATAAAATAACATATGGGGTGAGATGAGTCTTGCAAATTGTGCTAGACATGAGCCAGGTTGGTTATACACGCCCCTACACGATCTCTTCAACTCTGCATTGTTCCCGCTTCCCTACACGTTGTTGGACAACCCTCACCTCCCATGCATATCCCCTCTCTGTAGGAATGGGTACGCACATAGCACTCATCTCTCATATTGTGCACTGCTTGAGGGCATGAGGCGTGGGGCACACACATAGCACTGGTGAACTAACACAGCGTGTGCCTTTTCTTCCTCCACGCTGACTTCCACTCGGCGCTGTCGTGAGGCGACAAGAGTCCACATGTGAGTGTCCTTGTACCAGTGTTGCTGGCGCCATACGTGGATGTCACCACCATGGGGTGGTATGCCGCCGCTGGCTGCTGGCTGCAGGTGGAGGTGGAGAGGGGTGGAGAGCGGTGGAGAGCAATGGTGTGTGGGAGAGAGGGATGGAGAGCAATGGAGAAAGGCGAAGTAGGTGAAAAACGAGAGGCGAGTGGAAGGAGTTCCAGGTTATACATGTCACCGTCATACATGTCACAACACAAGCATGGGTGGTCTGACCCCACCCTAAACCTCAACCCCTCCCCCACACCCCAACTCCATTGCCACCACCCCACACTGCATTGCGAGGTGGAATTACCCACCAACTGGCGTGCAGTCACCTGGATGTGAAGCGAGAAGCTGCGCCGGCATTGCGTGCTAGAGGCATCCAAGCTAAACCACACTTTCGCGTGCAGTCACTCTGCCAGCCGCGAAATTCACCTAGTATGTGCCTTATCCGAGGGCGCAGTGTAACATTTATGGGGGAAATAGGCATCGTTGAGTGGTGCAAGTACAGTGTACGGTACTAATGGAAGCAACAATCATCTTGCAACCAAGCTTGAAATTATAGGCACTGTAGGCGAAGTGGGTCATTTTCTCAACACTTTACAAGCCACACCGATGTGTACATCGTGTCATGTTAGCGCATGTGCCAGATTACCAACTTGCATAGAAATCTGTGCTGAACAAGAACGCAAACATACGACAAGGGAAGTCTTTGGTCAGCTTAGGAACAAGCTCACAAGCAAAGTACGTACGGTAATTGGATTACACCCTAAAATGCAGATTACTACACCCCCACCAAGACATAAAAAAGAACGAGAAGGATGACATTGACAATACAACCTTGTATTTCCCAATCGTATCTGACATTCGACAATCACGCAATCCACAAACTCCCTCCAGCCATAGCAGCCTCCCTCCACACCGGCTCTTTCATTCATCCACTCTCTTCCTTGCTGCTGCTCACCAAATCCACCACTTCATTGCTCCTCATTCCTCCACCTCATTCCTCCACCTCATTCCTCCACCTCATTCCTCCACCTCATTCCTCCACCTCATTCCTCCTCCTCATTCCCCCTCATTCCTCCTCCTCATTTCTCCTCCTCATTCCCCCTCATTCCTCCTCCTCACTCCTCCTCCTCCTCCTCCTCCTCCTCCTCCTCCTCCTCCTCCTCCTCCTCCTCCTCCTCCTCCTCCTCCTCCTCCTCCTCCTCCTCCTCCTCCTCCTCCTCCTCCTCCTCGCCATCACTCGGTGCCCCCCAGCCTGCCCCCTCATCACTGTCATCGTCACTGTCCATGCCATGCCCATGGTGAATGTCCCACTCCTCACCACCACTCCCTGCTTCCTCCTCCTCCACCCCATTCGTCCTCCTCATTCCTCCACCCCTTTCGTCCTCCTCATTCCTCCACCCCATTCTTCCTCCTCATTCCTCCACCCCATTCTTCCTCCTCATTCCTCCTCTTCCTCTTCATCATCACTTGGTGCCCCCCAGCCTGCCCCATCATCACTGTCATCATCGCTGTACATGCCATGCTCCTGGTGATTGTCCCACTCCTCATCACCACTCTCTTCTTCTTCCGCTGCCTCCCTCTCCGCCTCTTCCCCTTCCCCCAACGTATCTCCTCCCTCCCCCCTCTCTGCTTCCTCCCTTTCTGCCCCCTCCCCCCCCCTCTCCCTCTCCCTCCTCCCCATCCACCTCCCCTCCCCTCGGAGGCAGCCCCCTCGTGTCTCGCGGAGAGAGCAACGGGCACTCGCTGAAGTCACACTCAAGCAACGTCGGCATGCTCCGGAGAGAGGAAGACGGAAGCCTAGCCAGCCGCTTGCACTCCATCACCCGCAGCACCTGCAGCTGAGGCAGCTTAGTAACCGACTCTGGCAACTTCCGCATCCGCTTCAGCCCTATGAGAACCAACTCTTGGAGAGACGAGAGCTTCCAGATATCATTTGGGAACGTTGAAATTCGGACCTTGATAAGAGAGCAGGATTGTAGCTTAGACAAACCCGTGAAGGATCCAGGAAGCTGCGTCAGCTGGTAGCAGTCTACTATATCCAGCGTCTCAAGCATCTTCAGCTGCCCGAGAGACTCGGGCAGGTGCCAAAGCGAGATAAGACGAACCAGCTGCAAGACCCGTAACCCTGACAGCCCTCCTAGGGTTAACGGCAGAGCCTTCAGCCTTACGGCTGAATCGATCCGGAGTTTTTTCAGCTGCGAGAGTTGGGAGATGGAGTGAGGGAGCAATACGAGGGTGTCCATCTCGCGGAGCTTTAGCTTTGTTAGAGAGGATAACCGGCCAAGGGACGGGCCAAGGGCTTCGAAAGAGAGAGATTTTATGTCGAGGCACTGGAGGGAGGGAAGCATTGCGCTGCTGTTGCTGCCAGTGCTGCGGGTGCTTCGGGTGGTGACTGAAGAAGAACGGATAAGCACCAGCTCATCTCCTAGCAACGCCCTGAGCCCACCACACTCCCGCACCTCCAACACCCGTAGCCGCGGCAGCTCCACAAGCGACGCAGGGAGACGTTTCAGGCCGTCCATCCGCACGATCTTGACCTCCTCGAGCGACTCCAGCCGTCCGATCCCCTCAGGCAGGACCGTTACTTTAGGGCAATCCTTCACTTCCAGGCTGGTGAGTGAAAAAACGCCTGAGAAGGAGGCAGGAAGGGCGGATAGTAGTGGCATTTCTCGAAGCACCAAGTTTTTTAGGCTTTTCAAGCAGCAGAAGCCGTCCAATAGGGCCCCTTCCAAGCGTTTGGCATTTATGAGACGAAGGGTTTGGAGGGCCGTCAGCGCGGAGGAGGATGGAGGAAGGTGGGTGAGCGCTGTGCAGTATTCCAGATGCAAAGAGCGCAACCGTTTTAAACCGCTCCCCATGCCATCTGGCAGCGCCGTGAGCCTTGGACATATGGTAAGGTTGAGATGCTCGAGAGAAGATAGTTGGGTTAGGGAGTCCGGGAGTTGATGCAGCTGCCTACAGTCCACGATATCCAGCCTCCAGAGAGATGTCAACTGCCCGAGAGACTCGGGCAGGTGTGTGAGCTGGCGAAGGCTGTTGAGGGACAGGGTTTTCAGAGCAGTCAGCTGCCCGAACTCCTCGGGCAGAGACGTCAGGTTCCAGATATTGTCGAGAGAAAGCCGTTGAAGCGTTGTAACCAGAGCGATGGAATCAGGAAGGGTTGTGAGACTTCTCAAATCCAGCAGAAGTGTCTGTAGTTTGGACAACTGCCCGATACTTTCGGGCAGAACTGAAAGTTCTGGAATGTCAAGGTTGAGGCTGGTGAGTGAAGGCAGGAGGAAAAGAGACTCGGGCAGAGACGTGATATCTCCGCACCGCTTGATCACTAGAGTCTTGAGCCGCCATAAATGCGCGAGAGCCTCAATCAGGTCGTGCATTCCCGTCACTTCATCCAGAATTACTGTTTCGAGCGCCCCGAGTCGACGAAGATTGACCAGCGACGGGAAAACAACCGCGCATCGTCGAAGCTCCAGAACGACGAGATTAGAAAGGTTGGTAAGAGAGGCAGGCAGCTGAATCATCGAGCAGAAACCCACGGATAGACGGTTCAGATTGACCAGTTGGCCGAAAGATTCTGGAAGCGGTGCCGCGAAGCAGCAACCCTGCAGCTGCAGCGACTTCAAGAAGACCAACTTTTCAAAATCTCTAGGCAACGCCTCAAGCTTATAAGCTTCCAGCACAAGGCTTCTGAGAGACTGCAATGAGGTGAAAGTATCTGGAAGTTGAGTAACGCGTGTCCTGAGATGCAGGTTCTTGAGCAAAGTGAGTCGGTCGATAGACGGAGGAATGGCAGCACGCTCCGTACAATCCAGATACAGATCTTGCAGCTGAGTACACCCCTCGAACAGGAATATCAGGCTCTTCTCACTTACACCGGTAACATCTGCTCGACTGTATCCATGTGCTATCGAATCAAGACGAAGCTCCGTCAGATGAGAACACAGGTCAGCGAGGCGAGAGAATAAATCATGAGAGTCGGAGGTAAGGCTGCCGAAGTTAATGATTAACTTTCTGATGTTACTAAACGATGAAAGAAGCTGAACGAGCTGAAGTGGACACATACGGAGGTTTTCCCGCAAGTGGATCTGGTCTTGCAAGCGGTAGGCGATGTGATGCCATTGCTTGCAGACTAGCGCGTGCGTCAGCTGGCCATCAGGTCGAATAAGAAGATTCAGTATACGAGAAAGCAGCTCATCGGGTAGCCGTTGGATTGGCGATCCGATTGGCATCGTGAAGGGAGGAGTTGATTAAATACCAGCGGTCGTTACTAAAGTTATGACTGCCTCTACTAGGACGATAACTAGACAATTAGGTCGCGAACAAGCTATACCAGTCAGACTAAGGGCGCGTGTCTTTTGGAGTGTATTTGTAGTTCATGTTTTTTGTTCAGCTTTATCCATTTGAACTTCGGTTGACCTGTGGTCGACATTCTCGACTATTTGTGGTCAAGTCGCAGCATTACCCTTCACATCAAACAGATGGAACAACAAAGTTCGACTAACGAAGTTCGACTATGTACAGTAGATTACGAGTCGTGCCCAAATTTCGTAGGTTACCTAGTCTAGACGACAAAGTTTTTGACGAATCCGGCTACAGTAACCTGGTACGTTGTTTTTCGTAATCGTCGTGCAATTCGTAAATTCACTGTGCACGAGCAGAAGAACACACGTTTGGATAAACGTGCACGTGAAAATTCGACCCTAGTTCAGTGTCCTTCAGTTTCATCAAACCATGAACTGGGACACACGATTTTCGCAATCTAGTTGTTACGAAATTAGCGAAACAGGTTACCAGCAAAAAGTTGATCTTTTTTTCGAACTCTACACCAAAAAACACGCGCCCTAAAAGCCGTGTCATCCTGAATTCAGATCAGTTGTATTGTAGCGCCCCGATCACAGGAAGGAGGGAATTGGACTTGTCAGTGACACCGCACTGCACCTCTCTGTTTCTCGAACCGTTCGCTGCAGATAATACTGAGCACCGTATTCGCGAAGGGGAAAGCGACAAAGGCGAACAAGTTTCCTGCCTCTGCGATCGTCGTGTGCCGAACTCGATACACCCGATACACTAGTGCATGTGCTCAAGAACGAAATTGGGGGGTGGTCAGAACCCCTGACCGAATGAATTGAAGACGTGAATCCCGAACCGTCGGTCACTCCCTCTACCATCCCAGAAACACCACCCTTCCTGCCCGAGCAACTTTTGTTCTGATGTGCCAGCATGGATAGAGAGAGCCACGAGTTCCACCCCACCTGGCATGAAGGCCACATCGCACTGGCTCGATAACTTCAAGATCCTTACAAGATGATGACGTGGCTAGCCAATGTGGCTTTGAGCGACTCTCCAGACGGTTTGCGTTCAGCATGTGCTTCACAGAGCGGCTCGTCGAGGTGCTGGAAATCGAGAACGCAGAATAAAAAGGTGCGTTCCCTGAAGACTACACAGTTCAATGAGCACATTCGCGGGAATGAGCCACCCCAATTGTACAGAATCCTCAAGTGCGAATGTGTCTCGAACTCATAAAGGTTTGAAACGAAAGAGGAACCCTGTTGTTCACATACGGGCAGATCCATATCGTTCATGTCGGCTCTCCAGATACGACTCGGCGATGCGTCGTCCGTCACACAAGCTGCTGAACACAAAACGCCACGTCAGATCAGAACGAGCGCACCGTTCCTCCCGCAACCGCAACCCACACCACCGCGGCACACCCCCTGCTCCTCCTCCCCCTCGCACATTCATCTGGGGGAACATTCAACCGCAATGCAATCAGTGTACACTCTACCACACCACCACACACACACTCGACCAGCATGTCGTCTCTTCCTGTTTCTCTCCCCATCTCACCATCCCGGTCACCTTGGCACCACACCACCACCACACATCCACATGCTCGCCAGCTTCGTTCGTCCTCGCTCACCACCCCATCCTGCCGCACCCCAACTGCTGCCCAACACTTCGTCCCGCACTGGTCATTGCGCCCTCACTCGACCGCACTGCTCGCTTGTTGCTCCTTCAGTGGCTCGCCTGGCACACACGACAGACACTAACTCAAGCGTGTCAGCTTGACTAGTTGATAGCACGTCACCGCCCCACTACTCATTTCTGCCGCAACTACGCCATGGCTGCTACGGTAATAGCTCTGTGCCTGATAATCATTTTTTTAAATGAGGTATCTGAGGAACCTATAATATTATTTCCTGATGGTTATTCTGGTCGCCGGCGCCGCCACGCGTCAGAATCGGGTTGAGGCGGCTTAATTTCTGTCCCGACTTTTAATAGTATACCGGCAAACAGTATGAGATGAAACTACTCACCCTGCGTCGCGTCACTACGGATTAACACAACACCCGTCGAGCTTATGGAGGATCCTTTTATTGTTCTTGTTTGTTTGTTTTCTCGTTTGTTTGTTTGTTGTTTGTTTCTCATTTCTCTTAAGCACGCTGTGGATTCACTCTTGCTCCACATCATCCTCACATGCATCCTCCTCTTTCTACGCTCTCTCCCCAACATACTTCCCACATCCCCTCCCGCGCTTCTCCCTCCCTCCGCTCACTCCTAGGTCTCCCGCGCGTTGACCGTCACATGCGCGGCGCGCCACGTCACCTGCGCGGCGGCAAACGGCGCCGCGCAGCAGCAGTGGACGGTGAAAGCTCTGGAGAGCAAGAGCATCGCGGACCTGCGAGCTCTGGCGAAAGAGCGTGGATTGCGGGGCGACACGAGGGCAGAGCTCATCACACTGCTGACGTGGGTGCCCGCCCTGTCGTTTTAGAAAAGCCGCCTTTTCAAATGCTCCCTGCCCTGCTCTGTTCTGTGACTTTCTGTTCTGTCCTGCTCAGCTCCGTCCTCTTGGTTCCGTTTACTTCCGTTAAATTCCGTCTTCCAGTGCTGGCGCCCCTCCCCTCTCATCGCGATTTCCCGCTGCGTTCACTCATCTTTCTGCTCGCTCTGTCTCGGGAATGCCGTGTTCCACTGCGTGTCGTTTCAGATCTCTTTTTCTCTGCTCCCACCCTCTCCCACCCTCTCCGCCCTCTCCGCGCTCTCCGCCCTCTCCGCCCTAGCATCACCTGCGCCAACGTGCTGAGACATTCCGCAATCCGCTGTAACATTCTCCCCTTCCCCTCCTTATCTTTCGCCCCACCCCCCATCCCCTCTGTCCCCCTTTTCCTTCCCCCCCTTTCTTTCCCGTACACCCCCCCCCCTTCCCCCTCCCCCCTCCCGCCCCCCTCCCCCCTCTTCCACTCCTCACCTCCCCCCCTCGAAATCACAGGTCCACAGGAAACGTCACCGCAAGTTCCGCCTCCGCAGTTTCCGCCCCCGCTTCCACCCCCGCTTCCTCTTCCGCCAGCGCGGCGGGCGCGGCGGGGCAGCAGCAGCGGCAGCGGCAACTGGATGTGCTTCCGCTGGCGCAGCTGCGCGCAATGGCGCGGAGCAGAGGACTCAGCGCGTCCGGGAGCAAGGCGCAACTAGTTAAGGACCTATTGTGAGTTGACAGCGCGGAGGGAAGGAGCGAGGGAGGAGGGGGAAGGGGGAGGGGGAGTTTTGAGACGTCAATCTTCAAGGCGCTACCGAGTAGCTCGTCCCCTTTCCGTTCCCTTACCTCTCCTTTCTACCCCCTCCGCCCTTTCCGTGCTCTCCGTTCCGCCCTTTCCGCGCTCTCCATTCCCTCCGTCCCCTCCCATACAACCTATTCCAGAATTGCGGAACTCGGCAGTGCTCCTTCCGTTCCTCCTCCCTCCGCCTCCGCCTCCCGTGTTTCCCCCGCCACATCCGCCGCCTCCGCCCCCTCCTCCGCCTCCGCTTCCCCTTCCGCCCCCGCGCCCGCTTCCCCGAGTAAGACGTGGAAGAACCAGCTGCAGGCGCAGCCCCTTTCCGCCCTGCGCGCGCTTGCGCGGGAGCGGGGGCTGCGCGGAGACACGCGCGCGGAGCTGATAACGGTGCTCAGTATGGACCCGCCCGCAGGCTCGGAACTGCCGGGCCTGGTGCCGAACCTGCCAGCTTCGTTCGACCTGCCGTTCCAATCGGAGGTGCAGGCTGGGAGCAGCGCGCTGGAGCCCTCACAGGTGGGGGGAGAAGAGGGAAGGGGAAAGGGGGAAAGGGGGAAAGGGGAAATGGGGAAAGGGGGAAAGGGGGAAAGGGGGAAAGGGGAAATGGGGAAAGGGGGAAAGGGGGAAAGGGGGAAAGGGGAAATGGGGAAAGGGGGAAAGGGGAAATGGGGGTTGGGGGAATGCGGAAAGGGGAAAAGGGGGAGGGAGGACAAGGGGAGGGGGAATGACGGAGCGGGAAGAAAAGGGGGAGAAAGTGGAGGGAAGAATGTGGGGAAGGAAGGCAGGGGGGAATGAGAATGGGCGATGTGCAAGGGGGAGACTAGGTGAGACGCGTCGCGCTCTGTAGAGTGAGGAAGGGTGAGAAAGGGTGAGGAAGGGCGAGAAAGGGTGAGGAAGGGTGAGGAAAACAGAGACTGGAGTCTAGGGCCAAGGGAGTGAGTCAACAAATGTCAAGAAAAACAGCTAAAAAACAACCACCTCCCATCGCATTCCTCATGCTTCCGATCCCTCCTCCCATCCCCTCCTCCCATCCCCTCCCATCCCCTCCCATCCCCTCCCATCCCCTCCCATCCCCTCCCCTCTCCTCCCCTCCCCCCCCCTCCCTCTCATCAACTCCTCACTCCCCGCATCCCCTTCCCCCCCACCCCTCCACCCACCCAGGCGGCCAAGCTAGCTTCGGAGCTAGCGTCTCTCTCAGCAACAATGCAGGTGCTGCAGTCGAAGCAAGCGACACTGTCAGGAGAACGAGACAGCCTCAAGGAGCAGGCGGACCTGCTAAGGAACGTGCTCGTGGGTGGGCTTGGACTCGCGCTCATCCCGCTGCTGCTGCCGCTGCAAGCAACCAACACGGCTGTGCAAGGCACTGTTACTACCGCCACGAGTGTAACCCAGGTGAGGGTTTGGCCCTATAACGTGTTTCTTGAGAGTTATCAAAACGCACCTGCTGCTACCGCTGCTGCTGCCGCTGCAAGCAACCAATACGGCCGTGCAAGGCACTGTGACTATCGCCACCAGTGTAACCCAGGTGAGCTTTGGTCTTAGTACGTGTTCCTTGAGATCTTTCAGAAAGCACCCGCTGTTCCCGCTGCTGCTGCCGCTGCTGCTCCCCCTGCTGCTCCTGCTGTTCCCGCTGCTGCTCCCGCTGCAAGCAACCAACACCGCCGTGCAAGGCACTGTGACTACCGCCACCAGTGTAACCCAGGTGAGCTTTGATCTTAGTACGAGCGTTTTGTTTCTTTGTTTTCTTTCTTTCCTGCTGCTGCCGCTGCACGAAACCAACACGGCCATGCAAGGGACTGTGACTATCGCCACCAGTGTAATCACACCCCCCTCCTCCACCAGACACTGCCTCCCCCAGCACCACCTATGCCTGGAGTGAGGGCGCTGGCACCAGAGGAATCATGCCGCATTCTTTTCAAGTCTGACCCATAACCCACCCCCGTGTTCCCCTCTCCTCCCATCCCCTCCTCACCCCCTCGCCACCAGACGCTCCCTCCCGCAGCACCTCCCGCACCTGAAGTCAGGTAGCTCGCACCAGAGGAGTTCTGCCGCACGCTTTTCAAGTCTGACTCGTACCCTCCCCCCCCCCCCCCCCCCCCCGTGTTCCCATCTCCTCCCATCCCCTTCCACACCCCCCGCCACCAGACGCTGCCTCCCCCAGCACTGCCTGCACCCGAGGTCAGGGAGCTGGCACCAGAGGAGTTCTGCCGCACGCTCTTCAAGTCTGACCCATAACCCACCGCCCTCTGCTTCCCCCCCTCCACGTGCCCCGCCACCAGACGCTGCCTCCCCCAGCGCCACCTGCGCCTGAAGTGAGGGAGCTGGCACCAGAGGAGTTCTGCCGCACACTCCCGGCCTCTCTGCTCTCCCCCGACCTTGCAAGATTCTGCCAGGCTGTCAACAACATGAACCTCTGATTTCTCGCTCGCTCGCCGTTCGCACCCCTTGAATGGGGCTTTTCCATGGGTCTGTTCTGTTCTGTTTGATAATTTATCGCGGGGATGGGTCTTGTTAGGTTGGGCTTGAGAGCTCGACGACATTCTCCTTCCTTAATCTCCTTGCCTCGCTGCTTTCGCCTGTGCTTTTCTAAATTCTGTTAGGCTGTGTGCCAAGTCAACAAACATGGCCCTGTGACTGGAGGCCCCCCATTGGGGTTCTTATTTGTTCTGTAAACGGGATTTTTCAGGGGATTGGCTGGGAGCTTGTGTGAGTGCTCAGTGTTGGGGTTGCATTTGTTAGAATATCTCTCCTCTTGTAACCTGCATATATGCTATAGAATAGGCTAGAGATAAGCACCCAAACTTAGTTTGGGTGTACAAACAGGGGTAACCCAGTTTGTAGGTTGGAACCCAACCTTGGTCCAATTATTGGACCCCAAAAGGTTGGGTTGGGTAGAATTATTGGCTCCCTCCAATAATGTTGGCCCAAACCCAACTTGGCCAACATTATTGGACCCCACCAATAATCACCCAACCCAACTTATTGGTTAGGGTCCAATAATGCCAACTTAGGCCTGTGGTTGCTGCTGGGTTTGATTGGATTGCCTTGGGAACTTGGGAACTTGGGACTGCGCAACGCGTATTTGTAAATGACATCAAAGGGGTTAGGTTGGGTAAAATGGGGCATGGAGCGGTGTGGGTAGGTTGCATTTTCTCATTTGCGCTGCTGACTATGGCAACACCTGTTCTGTAAGTCAGTCTGCAATGGATTGGTTGTATTGCAAATTACCTTGGCACATATGATACCCTGATAGGCTGACACGTATCAGGCAGGTGATTAGTCGGACCTATTGCTTAACAGCCAAGGGTTTAACAGCCAACTGTACATGGACAAAAAATGTAAACCCCAATACAACGGTATGCGGCTCAGGAAACATAAACCCGAAACATTCTAGTACCATATGATGCCGATGCACCATTCATCAAAGCTGAAGCGATGAAGATCACAGCTCATCTTGTACCGTCTCCCTCCCCCTTTTTGTGTCGACTAAAAAATCAACGAGCCGCAACAACACATCACAGCTCATCCTGTACCCCCTCCCTCTCCTCCTCCACCTCCTCCTCTTGCTCCCTCCCACCCGCTCCTCCCCCCTCACCACTTCCCGTTCGCTCACTCCCTCCTCTCCCACTTTCTCGCATGCCCTCTCTGGAAGCATTCTCCTCCGCAAATGTCCCACTCTCTGGTGGCGACTTATCGGTCGACTCAAGAGTCACAGTGGTGGAAGAAGCATCATTTTCTGTAGAGGTAGCAGCACTCCCTGGGGGTACTATATCCGGCTTGCTCTCTTGATTGTCAGCTTCTTTTCTGTGAATGAACACTCTGGGTTCCGTTTCCTGGGGCCATTAAAGGTGGAGGGAAAAGAGGGTGTGAGAGACCGCGCCCCCCAGTTGTGGGGTTGTTGAGGAGATGAGGAGGAGAGAGAGGGTTTTGTGTTGGGGTGCGAGCTATGGTAAGGTAACAAAGCTTGAGGAGCCCCGAACGTTGAAAAGGTAGGGATTACGAGGGGGAGGAGGGAGGGAACAAGAGCTTACCGAGACTGGGAAGAGGAATATTCGTTGTTGCTGTTTTCTTTTTAGAAATTCTATTGATTAAAGCTTACCAAGACAGGGAAGGGGATGCGAAGAGGGGGCATGCGGAGGAGCGTGCTAGTGCTGATGCGCATGCGCACAAAGCCAGTGGCGTTGGCCACATGCTCATATGATGGAACAGAGGGATGGGCGCTGGTGGGAAGGCAGGGAGGGCAGGGAGAGAAGGGAGAGGAAATTGTTTTCATGGATCCTGATGCTCATGCTGCATGCGCACAAAGCCAGTGGCGTTGGCCACATGCTCATAGGGTGGAACAGAGGGATGGGCGCTGGTGGGAGGGCAGGGGGGCAGGGAGGACAAAGAGAGAAAGAAGAAGAGACCGTTTTCATGGATGCTGATGCGCATGCGCACAAAGCCAGTGGCGTCGGCAACAGGCTCATAGGGTGGAACAGAGGGATGGGCGCTGGTGGGAAGGCAGGGGGGCAGGGAGAGAAGGGGGTTGGCGAGGGCAGGGAGGGTGGGGGGAGTAGGAAGTGAGAGGCATTTTCATGGATTCAAAATCTTAGACACTTCCACGTTGTAAGATGGGATGGGATGGGATGGGATGGGATGGGATGGGATGGGATGGGATGGGATGGGATGGGATGGGATGGGATGGGATGGGATGGGATGGGATGGGATGGGATGGGATGGGATGGGATGGGATGGGATGGGATGGGATGGGATGTACATACAGTAAGGAGGGGACAGGAGAACGCTGGGAAGTGAGAGGTGAGTGAGACATGGAAGTGAGGCAGGAGGAAGAGACAAAGGAGCAAGGACATACACACCTGAGAAGGTAGGAAAAGTTGGAGTGGGAGAGCTGGGAAAGAGTGAGGCCCTCCTGTTTGGAATAGCTGTGGTGGGGAGAGATGGGGAGAGAGATGGGGAGAGATGGGGAGAGATGGGGAGAGATGGGGAGAGATGGGGAGAGATGAGAACGGAGATGCGAAGGAAGATGGCTTTCCGTGAGTTTGAGTGTGAATAGCTAAGAGTGTGAAAATTTGGGACGGGAGAAGGGAAGGGAGATGGGAAGACTTGAAGCGCTTCGAGAAGAGATGTGGGATTGTGTGAGGCCCTCCTGCTGGATTAGCTGCGGGTTGTGGGGAAAAGTGGGAAGAGAGATGGGAAGAGGGCGTGACGAAAGCGAGTAACATACCACAACAAGGACGATACATCAGGTGATAAGTCCGGTGATGAGTCAGGTGATAAGTCAGGTGATGGGTAAAATGACATACACTTCACTAATGAGTCTGTATGGCTTGAAAACATACCTCCAGGGCGCTGCCAGTTGGGTGAACCGGGAGAATCCGGTCATGGCTGGCAGAACGTCCACATGCACTGAACCTGGCGCATGGCCCACTGATTTTACCGAGAGTATGAGGACAGGGGGGGAGTGAGAGGAGGGGCAGAAAGGAGGGATGCGTTTCGAGGCGATTCAAAGTTTTAAGAGGCACCTCAAAAGTCCACATGCAGTAAACATGGCTCGTGGCCCACCGGCACTACCAGGAGTACCAGGAGAGGGAGACGTAGGAGGCAGGACAGAGAAGAGGGATGAGTTCCGAGGAGCCTCAAAGGTTGAGGTCCCAGGAGGAGTATTGAGGGCAGATGCACTCAACATGGCTCGTGCCGCACTGGCATTACCAGGAGTCTGCAGCTACTCCCGACATGAATCTTATTACCAGGAGTACACGGACAGGGCGAAGTGAGAGAGAGGCAGGAGAGAGAGAGAGAGGAGAGATGCGTTTTGAAAAGATCAGAAACACCTTGCAAGTCCACATGCACTGGCAGTGGGTCGAGACCACTTATGAGGATTGTCAAAAGTGGTTCGCTGTCCACTGGCATTCCCAACAGTAGTGAGATGTTCAGACATTTCTCAAAAGTGGTTCACTGGCAGCTCTCTGAGAAATGTCTGAACATTCTCAGAAGTGGTTCGCTGTCCACTGGCATTCCCAAAAGTATTGAGGGCAGGGGGGGGTGAGAGGAAGGACAAAGAGGAGGGGTGAGGAGAGGGGGAAGAGGAATGGGGAAACAAGAGCAGGGGAAACGGAACGAGTGAAGAGGAAAGGGGGGAAAAAAGGGGGAGATGAGAAGGGACGAAATGAACGGGAGGTGCTGTCGAGTTGACTCAAACCTCTGCAGTTGAAGGCAGAAATGCAGAAGCAGCGGTGGTGAATCAAATAAGCGGGAACAAGAAGTTGAATGTGGGGAACAGGGAGGGAAAGAAAGGCGAGGCGAGGAGTCTAGTTTTGAGGCGCCTCAAAGCAGCGATGGTGAAACAAATAAGCGGGAACAAGAAGTGGGATGCAGGCAATGGGGGGAAAGAAAGGCGAGACAAGGAGCAGAGAGGAACCTTTTTGTTGGAGCAGAGTTTTGAGTCGACTCAAAACTAGGCAGCAGTGGTAAATCAAATAAGCGGGAAGAGAAACTTGAGAGGGAGAGGTGCAGCGGGGGGCGGGGGCTGGGGGGAAAGTTGAAAAGAAAAGGACGGGAAGAGGGAAGCATGAGCTTCCAAAGCTTTTGAGAACCAAAGAGAGCAGTAGGAGTGGGAAGCAGGAAGTAGGGCATTGTCACACGCATGGTCACACGCATGGTCACACGCATGGTCACACGCATGGTCACACGCATGGTCACACGCATGGTCACACGCATGGTCACACGCATGGTCACACGCATGGTCACACGCATGGTTCACACGCATGGTCACACGCATGGTCACACGCATGGTCACAGCATGGTCACACGCATGGTCACACGCATGGTCACACGCATGGTCACACGCATGGTCACACGCATGGTCCCACGCATGGTCACACGCATGGTCACACGCATGGTCACACGCATGGTCACACGCATTGTCACACGCATGGTCACACGCATGGTCACACGCATGGTCACACGCATGGTCACACGCATGGTCTGGTCACACGCATGGTCACACGCATGGTCACACGCATGGTCACACGCATGGTCACACGCATGGTCACACGCATGGTCACACGCATGGTCACACGCATGGTCACACGCATGGTCACACGCATGGTCACACGCATGGTCACACGCATGGTCACACGCATGGTCACACGCATGGTCACACGCATGGTCACACGCATGGTCACACGCATGGTCACACGCATGGTCACACGCATGGTCACACGCATGGTCACACGCATGGTCACACGCATGGTCACACGCATGGTCACACGCATGGTCACACGCATGGTCACACGCATGGTCACACGCATGGTCACACGCATGGTCACACGCATGGTCACACGCATGGTCACACGCATGGTCACACGCATGGTCACACGCATGGTCACACGCATGGTCACACGCATGGTCACACGCATGGTCACACGCATGGTCACACGCATGGTCACACGCATGGTCACACGCATGGTCACACGCATGGTCACACGCATGGTCACACGCATGGTCACACGCATGGTCACACGCATGGTCACACGCATGGTCACACGCATGGTCACACGCATGGTCACACGCATGGTCACACGCATGGTCACACGCATGGTCACACGCATGGTCACACGCATGGTCACACGCATGGTCACACGCATGGTCACACGCATGGTCACACGCATGGTCACACGCATGGTCACACGCATGGTCACACGCATGGTCACACGCATGGTCACACGCATGGTCACACGCATGGTCACACGCATGGTCACACGCATGGTCACACGCATGGTCACACGCATGGTCACACGCATGGTCACACGCATGGTCACACGCATGGTCACACCTGACTGCCAGAGCAAGCAGGGTAAGGGGACGTGCGATTCTGCCAAGGGTCCTGCTGATGCTGCTTCTGAAACGTCTCTAAAGTCATTAAGGTACAAGCATTGAGCAAGCAAGGTCACTGACTCACCTGACAGCCAGAGCAAGCAGGGTGAGCGGACGTGCGACTCTGCCAACGACTCTGCTGATGCTGCTGCTGCCACCTGTGGCTCGCAATAGCACCTGCCTGGAAGGTCCGTACGGTCAGGGAAAGGTGAAGGGAGAGGAGTAAGGAAGGAGAGGGAGTAGGTTGAGTAGCTGAGTAAGTAATGTTTCAGAAATGAGCGCAAGCTGGTGGCTTTTGTAGGATCTTCAGAAACCACCAGACCAAGTCTAGAGTTAAGGGAAGAGAGTGGGAGATGGAGAGGCGAACTGGCGAACTGAAACTGACTTGGACGGACGGAAGGCACTTACAGTCTTACTAAAGCACGAGCGGCAGAGAGGAGGAAGAGTGGCAAACCCGGGAAGAGAAACCGGAGCTCCTGAGAGAAAGAGTGGTGCGAGGGGGTGGTGAGTGGTGGGGAGAGGAAGCAAAGGCGAGGACGGATGTGGGCCTCTTTATTCTACCGTTATTCCACCTTTATTCCACCATTATTCCACCTTTATTCCACCTTTATTCCATCTTTATTCCACCTTTATTCCACCATTCCACTCTAATGAAAAGAGGAAGGAAGAATGGCAGAATGAGGAAGGTGGAATGAAGAGGCACGAGTAGGATGAGGCGCAGGGTGATTGGAGTGGAGAGGGGAGTGCAAACAGGTGTTTGAAGTAGTGTTTTCAGACGTCTCAATTCACTACTTCAAACACATGAGTAGGATGAGGCGCGGGGTGATTGGAGAGGGGAGCGCAAACAGGTCTGGCTTGCAATAGGTGACTGGAACGATGGTGTGGATTGCAAAAGGTGAGGCGTGGTTTGTGATTTGCAATTTTGGATTTTTAAAATTTGCCCCGATTGAAAAGCCAACGCGAGTGTGGCTTGGCTTGCCTTGCCTTGTGAGGAAGCAAGGAGTAGAATTTTCCAGACTTGCGGGAAAAGAGCAAAGAATTCTCAACACTACCCTGCGTCCTGCCTTGCCTTGTGAGGGAGGAAGGAGTAGAGGCCCACGAAGGTGAGTGCTGGCAGGAAGAAGCGCAGCATGCGACGATCGAGAATTGGACCCAGCTGGGGTGGGCACAGAGAGGGAGGGAATTGAGGCAGGGCAGGAGAGGAACATGACTTTCGATGCTCCTTGACTCTTGAGGTGCCTCAAGAGTGCTGGCAGGAAGAAGCGCAGCATGCGGCGGTCGAGAATTGGACCCAGCTGGGGTGGGCACAGAGAGTAGAGGCAGGGAAGGTGAGGGAAGGAAAAAAGAAGGGAAGCTTTGAGTCGATTAAAAAAACGATCGAGTATTGGACCCAGCTGGGGTGGGCACAGAGAGTAGAGGCAGGGAAGGGGAGAGGTTGGAAGGGGAAGGGAAAGGTGAGTAGTAGCACCAGTGGCGGCAGCAGCGAGACATAGAAAGGAGGGAGCAGGCATTGGACTGTGCCTGTCACGTGACACACAATCTTCAGCCCACTTGGAAAGCGCATCTTGTTGTTGGTGTTGTTTTTTTTTTTTTTTTTTTTTTTTTTTTTTGTGCTTTTTGTGTTTTTTTTTTTTCCTCGTACAAATGGTTCAAGCAACCTGTATTGGTCTGCCTGCAGCAAGCCTGCCTGCCTGACAGAATCTAATCTGCCTCAAGGAGAGAGTTCTGAGAAATTCAACGCGACGTACAAAGGAGAGTGGGGGTAGGCGAGAAGCAGAGCGCGGGGAAGTGCTTACGTGAAGTACTACCAGTGCGGGCCTCTTTTGAGTCGACTCAAACGCCCACAGGAGAAAGCAGAAACAAAGGAGGGATTGTTTTCCAGAAGGAGAGTCATTGATACGTACAAAGGAGAGCGGGTAGGCGAGAAGCAGGGCTCGGGGAAGGGCTGACGTGAAGTACCAGTGTGGGCTGGACACCTGGATAGGTTGCATGCAGGGGAGGGTGCAGGGGAGGGTTGGAACGGAGTTAGGTTGGGGTCGAGTTGGGGTTATGTCGGGGTTCGGATTTTTGCAGAGAGTCACATATCCATCACATCAGAGGCCCGTGTCACGTATCCCGCCGCAAGACATGAGCTTTAGGTACCTTACATTCTTTGAACCACGCTAGACCCCAACCTACCACACTAAACCGCACTGCACCCGACTGCACCGCACTACACCGCACCATGCACAGCACGTCAAAGGCCCATGAGTGGCACAGCACGAACCCCCCATTCGGAGCTTTTGTTGAGAGCGGTGTTGAAAAAGAGCACCATGCCCTCCGGCCAGAGGGGGAAGCGCCGCCACAATACAGAGTCCACTGATACCGTGAGCACTGCGGAAAACAGGGGGGGAAAGCAGGGGAGAATGGGGGGGAATGGGGGAGAATGGGGGAGAATGGGAGATTGTCAAGAGGAGGGGAGGAGCAGAGGTGCACTGAGAAGCAGCCAGAAGGCAGAGATCATAGGTACTGTCCGCAATGCGAGAAAAGGGGAGAGCAAGAGCGGGCCGTGGGAGGAAATGGTTTGGAGAAAGAGGGAGAGGAGAGGAGGGAGGGGGGGGGCAGCGCAGGAGTGCATGAGCACACAAAGCACACAGCGCATGATAGAAGCGCACCTGAACAGATAGAGGAGAGAGTGTGTGAGTGGAGCGTGAACGCTCTCTTGCGGACAAAGGCGCACATGAAAGGAAGTGCGTGAATAGTCATTTGTGTTGTGCACACTTACTCAGACTAGCTATGCCGGTTAGAACACATGTGAACGCAGCAAAGAAGAACCCAATTGACCGAGTCTGTGGCAAGGAAAGGGCAATAAGGAAAGATGCAGTGAAAAAAAAAGGAGCAAGGCCTATTTTGCGCGAAGAGGATCGATTAGAAAAGGTAAAAAAACAAACGGTTCATTATGGAAAGGTTCGCTCAACATGGACGCTTATAGTAAGGAAAGGTTTAAAAAGGACAGGTACTATAACAGGTGGGGTGATTGGTTCTTGAGCCTTCTTGAGATTGAAGGAAAGAGAAAGGGGAGGGTACTAACGAGCAGTAAGGAGAGGCCGATAGGGGCAAGGAGTATGAGCACGTCGCATCGGAAGACAACAAACGCAAAGACCTGAGGGGGAGACAGAAAAGAAGGGAGAGGGACGGGAGGAGAAGGCGAGGGGAGGGAAGGGACAGGACTGGTTTTGAGGCCTAGCACGTCGCATCGGAAGACAACAAACGCAACGACCTGAGGGGGAGACGGAAAAGAAGGGAGAGGGACGGGAGGAGAAGGCGAGGGGAGGGAAGGGACAGGACTGGTTTTGAGGCCTAGCACGTCGCATCGGAAGACAACAAATGCGAAGACCTGAGGGGGAGATGGAAGGGAGAGGGAAGGGAAGGCGGGGGGGGGAAAGGCGAGGGGAGGGAAGACGAGGGGAGGGAAGGTGAGGGGGGGCAAGGTACAAATCGTGAGTGCGAGCACATCGCATCGAAGGACAACACAAGCAGAGGCCTACATGCACGAAAGGCATAGGAGAGTGACACAGAGAAAACTGATGGTAGGTACGTGTGATATGTGACAAGAGGAGCACAAACGGAGAACTTTGAGATCAAGGGGAGCTCAATGGGGTTCAAGTCAAATGGAAAGGCCAATGTCAGTTTGGGTATAAACAGTACAAAGAGCCAACTTGTACAGAGAGCAGCACACTATATTCAACTCACCAGCGTCTGCAAAGCTTGTGCAGCCTTGCCCTTGATCCAGTAAGTAAATGCCAGGTTGGCTGCGGGGCAAGGGGCAAGGGGCAAGGGGCAGAGGGATGGAGCGGAAGGGAGTGGGTAGATAAGTTTGTCTGTCTCTACTGATATGGCAAACAGTGTGTTGCGCAGCGCGGCCTTGCCCTTAATCCAGTAGGTAAATGGCAGGTTGGCTGTTCGGGCAAGGTAACATGCAGAGGGATGGAGCGGAAGGGAGTAGATGAATCCGTCTGTCTTTACTGATATGCCAAACAGTGTGCAGTGTAGAGCCTGTGCAGAGCCTGTGCAGAGCCTGTGCAGCCTTGCCGTTGATCCTGTAGGTGAATGCCAGGTTGGATGCCGGGCAAGGATGCACACGCATGCATGCATGCATGCCGAGGGAGCGAGAGTAAGAGAGTGCCGTACCCAAAGAAGGAGCAGTAACACATAAGGGTGAGTGAAAGTTGAAGGGTGGGATGGGAAGGTGAGGGTGCAGTTAGTGACACATGAGGATGCCAGCTGGCGGATGGGAAGGGTGAGTGAAGAGCGCTGGTTGGAGATATGCCTGCAGTCATGAACCACGGTGCCGTGCGGTGCAGAGCAGTGCAAAGCAATGAAGAGCAGCGGCAGGCAGGCAGCATGTAGCGTACCAAGGGCAAGAGCAAAGACGTTGGGGAGGGGGCGAGAGGCGTAGAAGGGCAGGTGGAACTGCGAGAGGAAACACTTTTCTAGACGCCTCAAAAGCAGGCTGACAGGGAAGCAGTGGGCAGTGGGTAGTAGGCAAGGCGGGCAGCATGTAGCGTACCGAGGGCAAGAGCAAAGACGTTGGGGAGGGGGCGAGAGGCGTAGAAGGGCAGGTGGAACTGCGAGAGGAGCAGCAGGGCAAAGTATCTCGCTGTTGGGGTGCCGAAGGTAGTGGCGAACTGAGGGCGGATGGAAAAGGGAGAAGGGGGGAAAGAGTGAGCAATGGAGAGGAAGGAAGGCTTTTGGAGGGCGTCCTAGAGGGAGAAGTATCAGAGGGTGCCAAAGCTGGTGGCGATCTGAGGGTGGATGGGTGGAGAAGGGGGGAAGGGAAATAGAGAGCACGGGAGAGGAAGGAAGGCTTTTGGAGGGCGTCCCAGAGGGAGAAGTATCAGAGGGTGCCAAAGCTGGTGGCGATCTGAGGGTGGATGGGTGGAGAAGGGGGGAAGGGAAATAGAGAGCACGGGAGAGGAAGGAAGGCTTTTGGAGGGCGTCCCAGAGGGAGAAGTATCAGAGGGTGCCAAAGCTGGTGGCGATCTGAGGGTGGATGGGTGGAGAAGGGGGGAAGGGAAATAGAGAGCACGGGAGAGGAAGGAAGGCTTTTGGAGGGCGTCCCAGAGGGAGAAGTATCAGAGGGTGCCAAAGCTGGTGGCGATCTGAGGGTGGATGGGTGGAGAAGGGGGGAAGGGAAATAGAGAGCACGGGAGAGGAAGGAAGGCTTTTGGAGGGCGTCCCAGAGGGAGAAGTATCAGAGGGTGCCAAAGCTGGTGGCGATCTGAGGGTGGATGGGTGGAGAAGGGGGGAAGGGAAATAGAGAGCACGGGAGAGGAAGGAAGGCTTTTGGAGGGCGTCCCAGAGGGAGAAGTATCAGAGGGTGCCAAAGCTGGTGGCGATCTGAGGGTGGATGGGTGGAGAAGGGGGGAAGGGAAATAGAGAGCACGGGAGAGGAAGGAAGGCTTTTGGAGGGCGTCCCAGAGGGAGAAGTATCAGAGGGTGCCAAAGCTGGTGGCGATCTGAGGGTGGATGGGTGGAGAAGGGGGGAAGGGAAATAGAGAGCACGGGAGAGGAAGGAAGGCTTTTGGAGGGCGTCCCAGAGGGAGAAGTATCAGAGGGTGCCAAAGCTGGTGGCGATCTGAGGGTGGATGGGTGGAGAAGGGGGGAAGGGAAATAGAGAGCACTGGAGAGGAAGGAAGGCTTTTGGAGGGCGTCCCAGAGGGAGAAGTATCAGAGGGTGCCAAAGCTGGTGGCGATCTGAGGGTGGATGGGTGGAGAAGGGGGGAAGGGAAATAGAGAGCACGGGAGAGGAAGGAAGGCTTTTGGAGGGCGTCCCAGAGGGAGAAGTATCAGAGGGTGCCAAAGCTGGTGGCGATCTGAGGGTGGATGGGTGGAGAAGGGGGGAAGGGAAATAGAGAGCACTGGAGAGGAAGGAAGGCTTTTGGAGGGCGTCCCAGAGGGAGAAGTATCAGAGGGTGCCAAAGCTGGTGGCGATCTGAGGGTGGATGGGTGGAGAAGGGGGGAAGGGAAATAGAGAGCACGGGAGAGGAAGGAAGGCTTTTGGAGGGCGTCCCAGAGGGAGAAGTATCAGAGGGTGCCAAAGCTGGTGGCGATCTGAGGGTGGATGGGTGGAGAAGGGGGGAAGGGAAATAGAGAGCACTGGAGAGGAAGGAAGGCTTTTGGAGGGCGTCCCAGAGGGAGAAGTATCAGAGGGTGCCAAAGCTGGTGGCGATCTGAGGGTGGATGGGTGAAGGGAGGGGGAGCGAGAAGGAGCAGGCATATTTGAGGCTGCCTAGAGAAAAGAGTATCTTGCTGTTGGGGTGCCGAAGCTGGTGGCGATCTGATAATGGATGGGTGGAGTGAGGGAGGGAGGGAGGGGGGAGAACAAGGGAGTGGCAGGCGCAAAGAAAGTGGACAGGAGAGGGAGCAGGGATTTTTTAGGCTGCTCAAGGAGTAAGGAGAAGCTGGGAAAAGTATCGCACTTTGAGGGATGCCAGAGGTGGTGGCGTTGTGATAGTGAATGGGTGGAGGGAGGGAGGGAAAGAGATTGAGCAAGGAAGAGATTCGTCACTAGCAGAACGTTGGAAGCAGCATGTTGGAGGGATGGAACGCGGAGGGAGGAAGTAGAGGGAGAAGGGGGCGAGAGGGGAAAAAGGCATGGGTGAGAGCGAGCGTGAGGTGCGGTGAGGTGCGGGTGGTGTGTTGTGGTGTGGTGGTGGTGCGATGTGTTGGGAATGTGATGTGATGGGACGGGATGAGATGGGACGGGATGGAAAGTCACCTGACATGTTAATGACACGGCATGTGTATTTACAGAATGGTAGTAACTTACAATGCTACCTATGCTATCCCTTGTGAAGCTGTAAAATAGGCGGGCCACATGTCGTCACGTGAACGTAAACCTGTTTTGGAACATCTCAGCAAACAGACTTTCTTTCAAGTGAGCACAGTGGGTTGTTAGGCAGAAATGTTACCTGTCGTCGAAGCATGTAGAAGGAGAGGAAGACAATGAATCCAAGCGTGCCGCGCACTGCAGGGCACGGGCAGAGGCAGAGGCAGAGGCACGGGCAGAGGCAGAGGCAGAGGCACGGGCAGAGGCAGAGACAGAGGCACGGGCAGAGGCAGAGGCAGCGACAGAGGCACGGGCAGAGGCAGAGGCAGAGGCAGAGGCAGAGGCAGAGGCAGAGGCAGAGGCAGAGGCAGAGGCAGAGGCAGAGGCAGAGGCAGAGACAGAGGCAGAGGCAGAGGCAGAGGCAGAATCAGACTCTTTTGTTGATGTGTGGATACGAATTGGAGCTAGGAGAGGAGGCTAATCAGGCACAGGGCAAGACAAAAGTACCGTGTACCAGATTAGTTTTGAGGCGCCTCGGAGCTAGGAGAGGAGGCGAATCAGGCACAGGGCAAGACAAAATTACCGTGTATCAGATCCCCAATAGCGAGGCGTGCATGTGAGATGGCTTTTGGTTTCGAGACGTGTAAAAAACAACTCATGCACATACCAATAACGAGTGCTGTGATCTTAGAAGCACCAAACAGGTGAGTGATAGCCACTAGAGGGGATGATAGCCCCGCCACTAGCATGGCTCCTGCAGTGGGCAGGGTGGGAAGTGCGGGGAGAGAGAGGTTGAAAGCGGGGGGAGGGAGGGAAGACGAAGGGGGAGGGCAAGGTTGCAGAGGGGAAAGATGCGGGAAAAGCAGGGAAACGAGACGGGAAACACGGGAAGGGAGTGGGGGTGGAATGCAGGGAAGGACAGGATGGATGGAAGAGAATGATAATGGGGGCGTGTGTAAGCAGTATCGAAACATGCCATGGGAGGAAGAAAAGGGCCATTTGAGAGTGAAGGACTGTTAAAGAGAGAGGGAAAGGGGGAGGGAGGGAGTACGCACCGAGGAACGTTCGAGGCACAACGCCCGGGAACTCAAAATGGTCGTACTGTTGGAGCCCCGATAGGTGGCAATAGGCGGCAGCAAGGCAACAGGTAGGGACACACGGAGGGGGGGGAAGTGGTTGAATGAAGGGGGAAAGTCGGTGGGCGGGTGGTGGTGAACGAACAAGTAGGGCGGGCTGGAAGGAGAGGGAGGGAGGGACAGCTGGGTTCAGTGACATGAGGGCTATGGGTGGTGAAGGGTGGAGTGGAGTGGTGTGCGGTGCGATGGGTGCAATGGGTTCAAGTCGGACAGCATGCATAGTCTGCACGGGTGACATGAAAAGTCATGCACATACATGCATACATGCATACATGCATACATGCATACATGCATACATGCATACATGCATACATGCATACATGCATACATGCATACATGCAGACATGCATACATGGATACATGCATACATGCAGACATGCATACATGCAGACATGCATACATGCATACATGCATACATGCATACATGCATACATGCATACATGCATACATCCACCCACCAACACATGATAACCACAATAGCAGCAGCGTTACGGGCAGGAAGCATGCACAGTGATTCATGATGCAATGAAGAAGAGAGTCCACGTGGCAATGAGTCCACGTGCTCTGGCTGACGTGGCAGTGCAGGAACCGCATGGCAGTACCTGGGACAGGTGGAATCTGTGGAAGAGCAGGTCGTGCATGGCCTGATGTGGGACAGTGGGGAGAGTGGTGCAAGAGTGATAGTGCGAGAGGGAATGAGGGAGAGAGAAATAGGCGAGTGAATCAAAAGCATCTGAGTCAGAAGCGTGTGGTGCTGATGTTGCGCATAGTGCTAATGGTTATAAGTCTCTCCTAGCAACCACGTGTGAGCACGCAGAGAAGCGTCTGTCTCTACTCGCCTGCACGTTGAAGCCCTCTTCCACCTTGGTGAATGGCGCCCACCACACGTGCGCCCATATCACCAACAAGCCAGCGGTGAGATTTGCAGAGGCGAGTGGGTGAGAGGCGAGTGGGTGAGAGGCGAGTGGGTGAGCGCGCAAAGCACTCTCTGTCTCTACTCGCCTGCACGTTGAAGCTCTCTTCCACCTTGGTGAATGGCGCCCACCACACGTGCGCCCATATCACCGCCAGCAACGACACGTCCCACACTGCACGTGTGTGTGAGTGAGCGAGTGAGGGAGTGAGTGAGGAAGTGAATCAGTGAGTGAGACACGGCGTAGAAGGAAGGAGGGTACGGATATTGAGCCCTGTTGCTTTTTATAGTACTTTCGGCTGGGTGTTTACCCCAAGAGGAATCTTTCTATGGCGGCTTGAAAATAGGCTCCTTTTCCAAGGCTTAGACTAAAGAGGCGGGCAAGACCAGAGAGGGAGAGCGGTTAAGTGGCGCCGAGTGAATGTGAGCCGGGGAATGCGGGAGAGGCGAGACGGGATGGAGGGGGAGTGGGTTAGGGAGATGGAATAAGGCGAGACGGGGATAGAGGAAGCTGCGATAAGGGGAACCGGGTCTTTGAGAAGGGGCAGGGGGAAACGGCGACGACGATGGACGACGATGGAGGAGTAGCAGCTAGTAGCACGGATGGCGCGGAATACATGTGTACTCTAAAGGCGGCTCAGAATGCGTCGAATGGCGCGGAATACGGAGCGAAACGAAGGGAGGAGAACACGACACGAGAGCGCGCAACGCACCATCCACGGGAATGCGAGCTTCCCTGGTAGGATCCGATTGGCTCGCCGACCTTAGCCCCATGCCGGCACGACTGCCACTACCGCTGCCGCTATCGCTGCTGCTGCCGTTATCGCGTAGCCTAAGACAGACGAATAGTAATAACACGCTAGCACGAGAAAGACAGGGTGGAAGGAAAGTGATGAGCGGGTCTTAGTTCACTGATAAATGACAGTGACAATCCCACAGTCCAGATTCTAGTAGATTTCGCACGCCAATGGAGAGAATTTGGAATTTGTACCCGATACTGCTGGCTTTGCGATCAATTTGTGCAGGAATATGGTGCACTGACATTATATATTGTTTAAACCGAAACCAACCGAGCCGAAGATACCCTGTCTGTTCTGTACTTTCAGGAAACTCCCGTACATTCTTCCTTTCGTTCGGCTACTTCAAGTAGGTTGTGAGCAACATCGAGTTTTCTACAAGCGAGTCACAACTTATCCACTGCCCTCCCCTCCAATCCTGCTGCCCCTCCCTGTCACGGCCAGGTACCATCATGGCACGGACTCTCGCGCCTCGCATTCTCCTCGCACGCGACGCCAATACACAAACCATGGAACTTAGGAATTCTACTGGATGTCAGAAATTTGCACGTCTGAGGGGACCATTACGATCAGGGCGATTGCTACTATTAGGCCAACCGTTGAATCTCAGTTCTCGCCTTCACTCCCCAATTCGTCGCTGGCCCATTACCGTCTGTAACAGCAGCAGCAGCAGCAGCAGCAGCATTTCGCGCGCTGTGTCGCTCCGTAGAGTAACTAGTACCGCAGAAGATTCGCGGAATGCGCGGGGTCTGCGGAGTTCGCGCATTCCGCGGAGTCCGCTGGTTCCGCTTGGCAGCCCCGCCAAGGGGGGGAGCTGCTGGCGGCGCATCGGCGCGGAAGAAGCGGTAGGCGCAAGAAGACCGGAGGGGGTTTCCGCGCGGGCGGCGCAAGGGGGCGGAGGAGGCGGATCCGGTGCGGATGAAAAGGGGAGCGGCGGAGGCGGATTGGACGACCTCGATTTTGCCGTGTTCAGATTCACCCTCGGTAGGCTCACACAGAGATGAGATTTAAATCCGTTAGGCTCATCCGGTTCGGCTCATTCAGTTTGGCTCATCCGGTTCGGCTCATCTGGTTCGGCTCATCTGGTTCGGCTCATCTGGTTCGGCTCATCCGGTTCGGCTCATCTGGTTCGGCTCATCCGGTTCGGCTCATCTGGTTCGGCTCATCTTGTTGGTAATGCCGAACTGGGAGTAGCCTTGCATGGCCTTTGTCGCGCCGATCCACTCCCTCACTTCCTTTCATATCCGTATCCCCATTCATCCGTTCTCCTTTCCCTCCCCTTGCCTGTCCATCGCAACGCAACTCCCCACCGTTCCCCATCGCTCCGTGCTCACCTCACCTCTGCCAAACTGAACCCCCTTCTCTCGCTGGTAAAGACTACCTGCTCATTTCCTCCCTCTCCCAGGCAGTCCCTGGCTGGAATATCGTGACATTCCCAAGGTGGGCTGGACCTTCAGTTGCTTAAAAAACGCACCCCCCTTTCTCTTCTGCTGCCTCTCTCCCATAACCTCTCCTCGCCCAGGAATCCCCTGATTGGGCGGGCGATTGCGGCGTTCGCAAGGTAGTTTTTTGAAGCGCCTCAAGATCGCACTTGAGGTCCTTCTCTGCTGTTTCTCCCATTACCTTACCTCACCTCACTCGCCCAGGTATTCCGTGGCTGGACGATCGCGACATTCCCAGGGTGGTGGGGACACTGCTGGGTGTGGCGCTGCTGACCAATCACATGCTGACACCTCAGCCGCAACTGCCAGCTCAGACTGTACGTGTGGCCACCTATCACGCCACGTCACTTTCATTGCATGTGTGAAACGAGCAAAACCGCTTCCACATGCAAAATCTAGTGTCGGCTGAAAAAGAATCCCTCTCATTGCACGCACGTGCATACATTGAATGATTCGAATCCGACTCTCATTGGCGATCCACCTCACGATCCGATCAGGTGAGCAGCAGCAGTGCCATTGCTGTCCGTCCCTCCCCCCTGTCAGGTATTGGGGCGTGTGGGAGTGCTGCTAGTTCTTGTGTCGCTGCTGCTGCTGCCTTTCATATTTTTTTTTACACATCTCTCAGAACCTGTTTCCGTTCCTCCCTTCCCCCTGCCAGGTTTCGGAGTGTGTCGGAGTGCTGTTGATTCTCGTGTCACTGCTACTGCCTTTCATCGATCGGAAGCTGCAGGTGCGTGTGCACGTGTCTCCGTGTCGGTGCGTGGATGTGAGAGCGGGGGGGGGGGAGGAGAGAGAATGCGGGGGGATTGGGGGCGGCTGGTGGGGGTGGGTTGTGGCTGATCCTCGTGTCACTGCTACTGCCTTTCATCGATCGGAAGCTGCAGGTGCGTGTGCACGTGTCTCGGTGCCTGTGTGTGTGTGCGTGCGTGCGTGCGTGCGTGCGTGCGTGCGTGCGTGCGTGCGTGCGTGCGTGCGTGCGTGCGTGCGTGCGTGCGTACATGCGTGCGTGCGTGCGTGCGCGTGCGCGTGCGCCCGTGCGCCCGTGCGCGCACATGCACACACGCGTGTGAGCGTGCGAGTGAGGCAGTCCAGCCGAGCCGATCGTACTTGGCGAGTGAGGCTGTATTACATTCTCCGTTTATCAAGCACGACAATCCCATCCCATGTGCCATGGCCCACGGGGGATTTCACGATTACTCACTGGCAATGCGTCCCATCCCATGTGCCATGGCCCACGGGGGATTTCACGATTACTCACTGGCAATGCGTCCCATCCCATGGCTATCTTCTGAGTCCCATCACTGGCAACTCACATCGTTGTGGATTAACCACCCCCTGATCCTCTCATGTCTCATGCGTAACACCTGTGAATGCACTCATGTACAGTACACGCACGGGCAGAGGATGACTATTAGTCGTGCTGGAATCCTTTCAACAGATGATTTTACGGATGTGCATTGAGATTATCAACTTTGATTTTACGGATATTCACATCAGTGCACGCATGCAAACTGGAGGGAGGATGATGGATGCTAATCAGAGCGCATGTGTATGTGTGCCTGTATGTGCGTGTGCATGTACATGTGAGCAGGTGAGCAGCGGAGCAAGACTCACCTCTCCCTCCTCCACCTCATCCACCTCCTCTCCTTCTCTCAAGCCCCTCTTTCTCCTCTCCGACTCCCTCCCTGCATCCCACCAACCTGACATGGCATGGGCCACATACGCCGCTCTCCGCAACACCACTGCCACTGCTCTTCTGGTACGAGCGTACCGCTTGGCTTATGATGCTCATGTTCCTGTATAGTGCATGCCACCACATTTCACCGCACTTCATCACACCACACCACACCACACCACACACGCGCGATGTACGCCTGCTTGTAATTTGTAGCCTGCCGCACAGAATCCCCCGGTGAGGTGATTTTTTAGCTCACTACAAGTCGCCTCCTCATTCCTCTCTACAACCCTTCCATCTCCACTTCTCTCCACTATTCTCCACCACTCACCACCAATCTCCACCATTCTCCTCCCTGCCTGCAGGTTCTGGATTCCAAACGAGACCTTCTCTGTGCAAGAGGAACCTTCTTAGCATCTGCCTGCCAGCCTCCTTCTACCTCCGCCCCCTCTTCCTCCTCCCCCTCCTCCCCACCACAACCATCCCCACTGAAATCCCTCTCCTCCCTTCTCTCATCCACTCTCACCTCGTCTCAGCCACTCAGACAAGCACTAGACTCCGCCCTTGCACCATCGCCATCATCATCGTCACCATCACCAGCACCATCGTCATCACCATTCCCACCGACCGCTCCCCTCTCCTCCTCAGCACTCTCCGCCCTCTCCTCCTCCGTCTCCCCAGCTCGATCCGGACTCCTCATTCCCCTCACCTCCTCCAATCAAACGAGCAGCAGCAGCAGCAGCAGCACCCTACCCTCTGCAGCTTTCCCATCAGTGTCGGGTGCTCTCCTGGTTCTCTCAGACGCTCCAGATGCCTTCACACGTGCTGATCGCCGCTGGCTGGCAGCCCTAGCTGCCCGCATGCCCTTCCTCCTCTCTTCCTCCTCGCCAGATTCGTAACCTTCGTCTCCTCTCGTTGAGTCGACTATTCTAATACTTGGCTGCTCGCATCGATGCTCTGGGATGCTCTTCTACCGTACATTCTGCCTCTCCAACTTCCTGATCTGTGCTCTTTCCTCAGCCTCGTCTTCCTCTCCTCTCCCTCCCGCTCTCACTTCAGTTTTCCCTCTACACTCTTCCCTCTTCTCTTTGCTACCTCCTGTTCTTTCTCTGCTGCCCCTGTTGATATGGGTAGTGGTTTTAAGACATAAGCATCACTGCTTGGCTTTATCACTTTATATTTGAGCCGCCTAGAAAATGGTGCTGCCTGGCTGGCCTTTTTATCCGCTTCGGTTTTGTTCCTAACCATGTAACGGTTTGTGGGTGAGCCTTCCCAAAAAATCACAGTTACCGTAACATTTTCAATTGATGTGTGGGGCATCTCCTTTGAGCATTTAGTACAACCAACTAAACTGGCATGATGTTTGCTTTAGCAAGAAAAGTAAAAAGAAAAAACGCTGGATGCACTGAGATTGATTGGCCCCCAAACCATGATCCATGGTTAAATGCCTACAATGAAAAATAATGCTATACTCATGTGGGCGAGGTGGTATACCTATTTTGAATATAAGCTGCCAGATGCTAGACGCTAGAGGGTGCTAAATGGTGAAGAGTAAAGATGTGGCAGATGGTAGGTAGGTGGTATGATACGGTACGTACCGTATATGGCATGGTAGTAGGCATGGTAGTCTTGGCGAAGACGCCATGCCATGCCATGCCATGCCAGTGTAAAAAGCACTGTATACCGTACATGAAGCTCGGAATCACATCGCGGGCCATTTGGTGGCTCTGGTTGGGATGAATTATTGTATATATATATGTTATCATAAATTAGCAAGACAAAACATGATCCACGACCCCCCACATTCCCCCATTCATCTAGATTTCCTCACGTGACCCCCTCAACCTGCTTGCCTCCTCTGCTCTGGTAACCGGTTCTTGCAGTGATTGCTGCTGCTACTGCTGCTGAGCCGCCATTGCTTGTGACTTGCGGCGGCAGCAGTTGTGGCCAGCAGGCGCATGCGGCAGCAGTTGTGGCCAGCAGGCGCATGCGGCAGCTGAATGTGAAGTCTGGGGGGGCAATTTTCGAGTCGACTCGAGTTTTGAGACGTTTCAAAACTAGCAGCTGAAGGTGTGAAGTCCCAGGGGGGAATTTTTGAGTCGACTCGAAAAGCAGCTGAACTTGAAGTCCCTCCCAGGAGTTCTCATCTCGCTGTTGCTGAGCCGCCGTTGTGTTTTGAGTCGACTCAAAACACGGCCGAACGTGAAGTCCCTCACAGGCGTTCTCCTCTCACAGCTGCTGAGCCGCCATTGCCTGTGACTTGCGGCGGCGGCGGTTGTGCCCCAGGAGTCGCATGCGGCAGCTGCGCCTGCCCTCGTCAAACTCGCTGAGTGTGTGGAACCTGTGGGGCGTGCAGGGAGACGGTTTATTATACGCCACAGAAAGGCAGCTGCGCCTGCCCTCGTCAATGGGGGAACTCTTCCAACGTGTGGAGCCTGTTGGGCGTGGTGGGAGACGATTCATTAGACGCGAAGGGTCAAGGAGGGATAGACGAGGGGTAGATGGATTGATGAATGTAGGGAGGGAGGGAGGGAGGGAGGGAGGGAGGGAGGGAGGGAGGGAGGGAGGGAGGGAGGGAGGGAGGGAGGGAGGGAGGGAGGGAGGGAGGGAGGGAGGGAGGGGGGGGGGGAAGGGAGGGAGGGAGCAAGGGAAGGAGGGAGTGAAGGAGGGAGAAGTAGAGGGAGGGAGGAAGGGAGACCGTGAGGGAGGGACGGAGGGAGGGAGGGGGAAGGGAGAGATTGAGGTAGGAAGTATCGAAGGGAGTCGAGAAAGAAATGAACTTGATTGAGGTAGGAAGTAAAGCCGACTGCGATGAGAGTAAGGAGGGAATGAGATACGAGTTACGGAGCGACATGAGTGGGTGAAGAAGCATGGGCTCAATGAGAGTGCAGCAGAGGAAGACGGATAGACCGTAGATAG